GACAGTGTAGGTCATGCTGTGAACAAGGATGCTTGACTGCAGGACTTTAAAACGTTGCCGTCGCGTTGTCTTGTCGCGTCGTACCTTATTCTTGTGTTTATTGGCGCTGTTTCCTTCATTTGCAAGCTGGAACATCGTATGTGTTCTTTCAGAATGAAGTCGCAACCGGGAGTAGCGGCGACGGCATCTGCAGCTACGGCACCTCTTCTCAAATCTCATCCGCATAGCAGTGGTCATTCCGTCTCGTCCTCTTCAGCATCTTCCGTTTCCAAGTGCACCAGGTTGTCCCCGTCTACTCAGACCCAGTGCGCCGTGCAGTCGATCGCTCCTGCTAATCAAGGCGTCTACGATCAGCAGCAGAATCCGGCCAGTGGCGGCTTTTCGGCCGGTGGTCACCCATGTAGTGTTCTCTACGTGTTTTCGACCACTTTGGCTAACCGGTAAGTTTCGAAGTCTCCGCTGGACCGGCTTGTATTTGACACTTTACAATCTCCGTTTCCGGCGTTTGACTTTGTCTCGTTCCGTATACCAATTTTTACGACTATTAGCTCCAACTGTCGGTATCTTTCCGTTTGCTATAATGGCATCGCGTTTTCTGCCTCACAATTCTTCTGCATCCGTCACCGTGCTACTCTCCTCTTAGTTGCCAGAGATTATGAAGCAGGTTCTGATCATCGAATTTTCGCAGTTTACCTCCGCTTTCCAACGACTTCCATGATCTTTGTCAAACTCAGGCGACAAACGAGTCCATGTATCGTTCGATGACGGCAATAACATGAGGGCACGTGGTCAAATTATACGGAAACGTCACCGTGATCCTTATCCCTCATTTTAGTCCGTCCAGTAGCGGCGGTGGTTTGCTGCCTTGCATACAAAGCGTTAAACATCCTGTGGGTTTTCCCTGCACTAAATGTTTTTCTGGCTTTATGCATACATATCGTTTTCTTCATGGGTAACATGTAGCTGTATGGTCTGCCTACCTGTTTTAAGTAGACAGCTCTACATAGAATAAGAAAGCCGTTATTTCTAAGCTGTTCACTGTGAAAAACATACGTTGGCAGTTTGAGTATCACATCACGTTGTCAATGCACCGATTCAGTCTTCTTCGTGTCTTGTCAGCTGTGTTGGAGTCCGGGTGAAGCATTTAAAATTCACATATTCTTTATGGAATTGTTTGAAATGCCATATGATTAAGCGGCTGTTTCCGTTAAAAATCTTTACATGAATCGAAAGCTGTCCTAAAATTCAGTAATGCAAACGTAAAAGGTTTATGCCTAATTACTTCCTTGTGAATCGTATTTTTTTATTTCAGAGTTCATAGCATCAAAAAGAAACAAATGATGTTGAAATCTGTTTGCTTTTTTAATAAGTCACTTTCTACGACTGCTTACTTATACGAGTCACCGAGGAATACACGTCAGACACTGTTCCAACGTTCCTTGTCATGTGCTAGCGTTTGAGCTTCAACCGGAGTCGCGTAAGTGCAGTCCTCATGTCGTGTCTGGTTTTCCTCGCGGTGTTCCGTCAATGGGCTGAGCAAGTAGTGGCAATATAGCCTTCTTCTCTGGACATATTTGTAACACATGCGCAAATCCTCATACGTGGGACCGACCAAATCACCGACGTGGAGATGAGGTTGCCTTTTTAATTCAGTTTAATTTAATTCTTTTCTATGGTCTATTCAGATACACATGAAAGATTGTTAAAACAACTTTTACTTTTGGAAGTGTTGAGAGTCGCTCCGCTTTTCAACGAAAATTTCTGTCGATCCTACGCTGCAGTATCCTGTTTATTCACATGGCACAAGAAATTAACAAAAAACATTGTTACATGCGAACACATACATATAAAAATACATGTATCTGTACCCATATGCTGTATTTTTATGTTGTGTACACTAAAATCCATATTTAGCAAAGTTCTGAGATAGTACTGTCTGTTAACAATAAATGGAGGTTATTTTAGTTAAACGTAAATTGCTCATATTAGATAATACGCAGTCATTTTCACTTTCGTTGTTGCTTAAATTGTAAACTTCAGAAACGATGAGTGGTATAATTTTTAGCTGAGAGAAAAGAAAATTATGATAATAAATTAGTGTTGAAGGTTGAAAGCAGCAGATAATGGTTTATTCGACGTTTAAAAGGAGACCAGTTTTCTCTCCCCATTGGCACTGGCGATCGATTTGGTTAGGTAAAGCTGTTAAGATGATGAGAGGCGTCATGAATAGCTGTGCCATCAGTCTACTTAATACAAATCGCGTCTGCATCAACTGTCTCCCGTGCCTGTAGATATATAGCACAAGGAAAACAGGAGAAACAGAAATTCTTTGTGAACCCCGAGCTGCACGGTAGCCCGAGCACATGCAGCTGTTCTTGTCCTGTATGGACGTATTGACGTAAGGATGTTCAATAACTGGTAATGAATTGGACATGTTGGCAAGAATTACATCATTCGACGTTATATGTATACATGTAATTTGTTGTTATTGGTGAGTGCTGATAAATCCAATTGAAAACTAGCTTTTTATCATTACTGGTAGCATGAGAAATAAACACAGTTACATAAACAATTGCTTCACCAAAATTGGCAGCTAGATTTTCTTCTTCGTCTTCTTTTCCATTTGTTGGTGTTTTCATGTCTTGAGAATACGTTGCTATGTCCTCTGCATCATTATTAGGTACAAGTCGTTAGTTTTCTTCTTCTGTGTCTTTATTGCCTACATTTGTTTTAATTAAATTGTTTAGCTGAATCTTGCTTTCTGGGGACACATACTGACTTGACTCATTGGACGTCTTTTCTGGAGCTTCTTGTCATCATTTCCCATAAATTACTGTGCTATGTGGTGTCAACTACAGTTGGGGGAGAGGGGAAGCTAATCCTTCTACCATGCTTGGTTTTTGGATATGTGCGACCCAGCTCTGTTTTCGTCTGTTCGTCCCTGCTATTATCCAGCGATGAATTGTTGACCTGCCTTTAGTCCTATTCCGGCATGGGTTTGGCAGGCTATGGCTACCGTCGTTCCATCGTTGTGCATGACCAGAGAGCTAGAGTTTTGGATCGAAGGCTGATACTTGTCCCTGTTGAGTGTATTCAATTTGTGCTTTCTGTATCACCAATAAGTACTTCGGCATTTGTGATCGTATCATACAGTCTGTATCTGAGTTCTAGCGCATTTTCCCATCTTGGTAGAGGTCGATGTTGCCGCACACATCATGCTCTCAGATTGGGTATCATATGCACAAATTATCACTGAAGTAATGCCGGCAGCTTTCCACAGATTTTGCTGCAGTTTGTTGTAGGCGTTCGACCCTTCTCGATTCTTTCGTGAACTTTTTTTTTAACAGCGTCCATTCTTTGTGGTCATCGTCTAAGATGGCAGACTTTGGTGACATGCTGCACGCCTTTCGCATAAATATTCATGATTCTAACATCTGCTGGTACTCACGTCTTCGTGCATTATTTAATTCTGATGGTATTTCTTCTATAAATCCGCGAATACGCTTTTGCACAGAATATTGTATCCAAGCCTAACGGGTGCAAATGGCCCATTACGTTGTTTATAGAAGCTGTACTTCAATGTTCCGACGTAGCTGGAGGATTTGCTCGAAAAGAGGATGATATTTTTGCTTATTACAAATCAAAATTCAAAATGTTACTTGTCGTCAATAGTGCATTGTAATAATTTCAATATCTGAAGATTTCTGTATCTTCCTGTTTCGGAATTTATGCACAGTACAGCACTGACTTTTTTCTCGTTTTTCTACACGGCGTGGGCATTTTGCTGTACATGATCTATTCCACAGAAAGTATAAAAAATATGAGTCTAATCAGCATTGAAAATTCCCATTCACTTATAACCATTCAACTACCTCAACCATAACTCCTTTCAGTAGTCTCCTACGTCTCCGTCAATATTTACACGTTCCCTGCTCCTGTTCTTCTGCTGTTTCTCGAAAGTGTTTTACCAACCGTTTTAAGTTTTCGAATTATCACCGTTCGGTCTCTGGGGACTGTTTGCTTTTTCCTCAGTATTTTACCATTGATTCAGATGCGCATCATACGACGCTGATCACATTTTTCTTATTTGTTTGTCTAGAATTTGTGTTCTGTTTTGCTAGATTTGGCGTGAGGATGGCGACCCAACACCAGATTTTCCACCATGTCGTTTGCCTTAATTTTTTTGCTGGTTTACGTCGCGTATGACTGTTTTCCTTTGCAATGATTCCTTGTGCAAGGCTGTCTTAATCATTGAAAGCTCTAAACTGTATATGAAAATGCAATAACGCAAAATTCATCCAGCGCATTGGTCGCGAAAACCATATGCTGGAACTTATGTCGGAGTGAAGTTCTTTGGAGTTATGCCGTTGGCTTGGGAAATAATTCAATGACGATATTTCTTTCTTTGCATGCTGATTGTGCCCTGAATCGAGATTGTCCAAATAGGGGAACATATACTGTTTATTTCTGAAGGATTTCAAGAACTTCAGATGGTCAGTTTGTTGCCACTTCTGCACAAGCGTTTCACGAAGGTACTGGAGAAAAGACCTCAAAAAATCTCGATGCTACACAGCCGAAGAAGCAAGCAAGATTCAAATATAAATTTAATGCAATATATTATCTCCAGGTGATACATCAAATAATTCAGACTTCAAGCGACTTTCAGCTTCCTCTCTGCCTGGCGTTCGTCGATTTCGAAATGGCTTTCTACCCGGTATGCACATGGTCTGTAGTGCATTCTTTGAGAAGACAGAATTTCGAGAAAGGACACATTAATCCCATCGCTTAGGCTTTCTGGAATGCAACTGCTGGAATAAAACTTCGCCAAAACAAAAATTCAAAATCAGAAAATGCGTCCAATAGGGTGATGAAGTATCATTTTTGTGATCCTCAGCATACATAGAAGAGAGTTTTATGACACTTCATAGGGAAAATTGGCGGCTGAAGATAAATTTGCACTATTTAAGCCACCCGTGTATCGCCGACGATGTCCTGATCTTCTGAAGATCATCAGAAGAAATCAAAATAGAATCCAAAAAATGAATGACGCCGTCATGAAAGTAGGATTGAAAATGAACCTGAAGAAGACAGGTCATATTTAATAAATGTGACCCGACGACCTGTTGAAGCGAATGGAATTAGGCTTGCTAATTTATGAAACTACATTTCTTTGGAATAGCTAGTCCCTGCAACGGAGAACCTTCTCTGTGAAATTCACTTAAAAGTAATGATGGTATGAAGAACGTTTGGAAGATGGAGAACTTCCCTGGAAAAATGCCCTTATACTTGAGATAGGAAGTTTTCGATCATGCTGTGCATGCTCTCAGCTTTAACCGTGGATGCGAAATGTGGGCCCTAAACTTGACGGCTTTTCATACATAAACTTCACATTACTCAGTGCGATGTGTAAAGATATGTGTTGGAAGTAAGAAGGAAAGATTGGAAGAAAAATGAATGAATAACAGCACAAAATATTCTGCGATGTCACTGAACGGGTAATGAAGTTAAAATGGCAATGGGCAGGATGCGTTGCAACATGAGCTGACAGTCGCTGAACCTGAGATATATTGCTTTAAGTTCGAAAAGAGGGTAAACTGCCCATAGGAAGAACTTAAAATAAATGGCAGAATGAGCTAAAGAAGTTCTTTGGATAAAAGTCTCAGAACACAGACTGGCAAAGTCTTATAGAGGCTTTTATCCATCGTTAGATCAGAATAAGCTGATGATGATAATGGTTGAAGATTTTAATCGGGACCTGAAAAAATGTTGATTAATACTGGTTTTTACTAAATGCGATTGTATGCAGTCGAATCGACATATCATTGTATGTTCATCTGTAGATTCGTTTTTATCTTTAATGTCATAATTGTATTAAGGTAGTTTTATGCTTGCTTAGATTCGATTCACTTTTTATTTATGCTTATGTTTAGAGCCGCACAGTCGGTTGCATGTCGTCAGTATAACAGCATTCTCGAATTTCACCAGAACCAAGAGGATACGCGCCGGCTTTTAGTAAGAGCTCGCTTGTCTTTTTATCTTGGTACCGTCTATGTTGTTTCAGCTTAATACCACAACTTACTATGGAAACTTGCAGTTGCCGTCTTCTACCGTCGGCAAACAGGGTTTTAACAGTGTCGGCGGAATGGCGGAAGCCAGCGGTGGTGGGAGCGGAGGCGACAGGGGCTCTTCGTCCGAAGCCCCCGTCGAGGGTGTTCCCTCCGCTTCCTCATCATCGTCTACGCCTGGCTTTTCCTCTGAACGTTCGAAGTGCAAATCTGATAACGCCAAAGTTTGTGGCGATGGCTCGCAGTCTGACATGAAGCGCAAGCAATGCAGTTCTCTGACTAGTAAAATTATTTTACTTACTTTGGATTTGGAGGTGTTACATTTATATGCTTTGCAGTAAACATAAAGAAAGAGGCGATGTCCCCTGTTCCCTACAATCAATCATCACTCTGTCCTTCAAAAGACGGCGATGGTGATAAGGAAGCCGCTGCTACTGTAACATCATCAGGTCTGGCCGAGCAACCGCCGACCTCCGCGTCGTCCGCTCCGCCCTTCTCACGTACCGTCGATACCTCTAATCTCCCATTGTCTGACGTGCCAAACGTAACGATCACCGACGATCCTTTGGAAAAGATGGCCAAGCTAACAGAGGAAACGCTTCCATTCGAACCTCCTTTGGTACGTGAATGTTGTAAATAGTTCATTGTGAAAATATTTTAGAATCTAATTATTTCAAATGAGTCAAAAAATGAAATTTCGAATTACAGGCTTTCCCATTGTCATTTTATTAAAAAATCATACTGTTTGTTAAGCAGCAATTTAAATTGTGATATGTAATAGGAAAATAGGAGCATTTCCGTAAAGCGCGACATGGACCTGACTTACTTTCAAACTTGGACACTAAATTAATTTTCTATTAAGCTGAGCAGTAGTGTCCCTCTTTCTATGTATTTACTTCGCACATGGGCGCATTCAAAAGCCGGTTCCAGTCTGTCTTATCATGATTGGACCTGTTGTATATATCGTTGCTCTTATTTACTGTATGATTTGCGTAGTGCTCACCTGTAAACTTGCTAAAAGACAGTTACTTCTTACCTTCTGTAGAAATAAACTTGACTTGATTTAATATATGGTATGCAATACTTGTTAAAAGCAGACAGCTCTCTGGACAGTCATTAATGTCACTTTCGTTCAATATCTGCTGATTCCTTAGGGCGGCTGTTGCGTGACGTCTTCTGTGTTCAGCATCACTGTGCGGTTCAGTTCATAGCCATGCCAGATGGATGTTAGCTTTGCTTTCCTATGCTGTTATCCCAAATTGTAGAAGAACATTAATCAAATTTTTTGTCCAGTGAGGACTAGACGATAGAATTTTACAGACAACATTATTTTTTTCATTTATTATTTATTTTATTTAGAATTATGCTCAACAGAATGTATTGATAAAATGAACACATCGTTTTTTCGAATTCACAGTTATCAAGCTCTTTCAGTTAGCCAGATGATTTTGAATGGAATCTGTTTGCCAGCCGGTTTTGATGACCGCTTTTCTTTCGCGTCGCAGAGGTGGACAGGTCACACGGTATTTTCGACAATCCTGATTCTGTGCCAGCACTTGAGTTTCAGCAAAAGCTAATCCGATCTAAAACAGAGTCAATCGAGGGACTCCAACTCAGTGATCAGCGCCACTGGGTCCTAGGGTGATCGGTTGGACAGATAGAAGCTGTTCGCCTTCATTTTTGCCTTTATCGCAGCTGTGATATCTAAATCTAGAGAAGCATGCACCAAAGGTCTCTCGGATATTTGTTCTCTGGACCATGTTGAGACGCATAAGCCCTGCGATTCGTCTCAGAAAGCCCGTTTCGGCAGCTTATACCCAGGATCATAGTTTGTCAGTCGTCTGCCACGGCTGGAATTTGCCTCCTTATCGTAAGTTAAAAGGATCATTCGAATTATGCCGCAATTTCGAATGAGTCAGGCTCTGTTGCTCTTTCTAAATATCAGTGTTTATGATTGGTGCTGTGTAGTGTAAAATGGAAATACCAGTTACAGAAAAATGGAACAGTTGCTATTATTGTTATTATTGATATATTATTTAACGGT